CCCCAAAACCCCAAAACCCCAAAACCCCAAAACCCCAAAACCCCTGGTAAGGCAGACCCAATTGAAATTTTAGAGATACTATTAGAGTTGTATTTAGAATATGGAGAAAAGTGCTTTAGATCATTATTTTACTCAAAAAAATCATCCTCTGTTTCTTCACCAAGGAGACAGTTTTTAATAGTGATCTTCTCACGAGGAATGTTCTCGAAGAACTTTTGGATAACCTTTTCGATGTAGTCTTTCTTACTGAGACCTGCTCTTTCTTCGAAGCTATCTCCTTCGTAGATATAAATTCTATTTTCTTCTGTTTCATCTTTTGCCTTTTCTCAAATAATATTTAGTTCATCGAAGTCGAGATCTTCTTCATCAAAGACTGCACTTGAAATGTCTGTATCTGGGTATGTGAATAGCCTAGGCTTGAGCTTCTTTTCAGCTTTCACTTCTTCGTTATAAGAATCTATTTGATGAACCATGGGAATGCTAGAGATGTTCTCAGCATCTTCAAGGCTAGGGAACCAATAATCCCAAGCTCTTGATTGCATAAATGGAGTAGCTGGAGCTTCCTCAAGCCCCCATATTGACCAGAAATAGGGATCGAGTTTACTTTGCTCATATTCTGTGACTTTAGTCGCAGCTTTTTCACGATTCTGGAGTTCTTCAATGTATTGGTAAGCATATTCTTGATATTTTTCTCTGTTCTTGCCCTTACATTCAGATCAAAGAAGGACTATGAACTCCTCCTTAGTCTGAATAATGTAGACTCCTCTAGGATCCATTGGTTTTAACTGCTTATCAACAAAGAACTGCTCCATGTTAAGCTTGGCTACTATTTCCATTGGAGCTTCCTTCTCATGGGAGCAAACTGTGAATACTCTTGGGTTAACTGGGATCGAATCAAAGCTGCTATAGATTCTTTTATGAAACCACATCAATTGGACTATGAAGCCAAGATTCGGGTTAATTACACTCCTTCTCTTCTGTATATACTCAAAAGCTTCATTGTAGTTAAGCCCGAGGCTATGAATAACATATGCAAGACAAAGAGTAGCTGACCGGGAAATACCTTGGACGCAGTGGACGTACACCCTTCCATCATTTTTCTTGGCTTCCTCCATAAATCGAATTGCTTTGTAGAATATTCACTCTATGTTCTCTCTTGGGTGATCTTTCAGGTGGAATGATATATATTTAAACTCCCCATCATGATAGTTCGGGCTGTAATCTCCCACTGCATTTATTATGTGGGTAATTTTATTCTGTTTTAGAACTTCCTTGTTCTTAGCAAGGTAGTCAGACCCAAGATATAGAAAATTGTCAATAATCTCAGAACAAATTTGCTTAAATTTGTTGTTTCGCTCTTCTGCAATACTTGTATTTTTAGCCATGAAGAAATCAGTGTCTTCTTGACTATGATGAGAGCTGGGAGGGTCAGGTTCACAACATCCCCTTCTAAACTGAGGGGGTTCATAAGGATCTTCTTCCTCCTTCATTTCAGTATCATCTGATAATTTGGTGACATTTTTGATATTGATTGTGAGCTGGGGTCCAGAAACTTCTTCAAATTCCATTCTGTTGCTAGAATCACCCTCTCCACTTCTTGACCCTGAACTCACAGGAATCCCTAAAGAGGGAACTTTTCTACCAGAAGGGTTGCCTTCAGGCAAGCCTAGGGCTGGCATCTGCGGAAGCTTTTGCTCATTTTGGTTCAAAATTTCATTTTGAATTTGCTTCGCTTTGGTCAAATCGAGGCTAATACCTTTGCCAGGATTGTATGATGCTCTTGAGCTAGAATATTCCCCGGAATCTTCGTAAATTCTATCTGATGATGTATCGTATTCATTCAAGATCGGCTTTCTTTGTGCTTGAGAAATGTCAAGTGCTATACCTTGAATTCCAGGCACTTTAGGCTTATTGAGCTCCATATTTTCTCTTTCTTCATCTCCCTCGTTCACATTTTCTCCCTTAGGAGGTATGTTTAGAAGCGGGATGGCTGGTTTTTGAGCAGCTGGCTGTGGCTTTACTAAATCCTGCCCAAGTGATAGCTTAGGTACTGGATTAGACTGAGGTGGGGGACGCTCTCCATTCCTACTTTCATCAGAAACTTCATGATCATCTTCAAGATCAGAAATATTATCATTGATGAATTTAAATCTCCTTTGGTATTCATTTGTGTCAGGCAAGTCCTCTTTCTTAGGCTCTCCTTGAGAGTCAGGGAAGAAGTACTTCCTAAATTTTGGGTACATTGTTTGCTCAATTACAGATTTTGAGTTCTCATTTGAGTTAGATTGTAATCCTTGAACGTAGCTCTCAGGTACTAGGAATCTAAATAGGTATATAGTCTCATAAGTTTTTATCATTCGCTCAGTATCAGGCGTATTAGGATTTTCCTCTTGCTTCGCATCTTCTTGGTCTGAACTCGCTTGATCAAAAAGAAGAACTTTACCTCTCTGGAGACGGATACCTCTGACAACACCCCCATTGAAGATAAAAGAAAGAAGGGAATCTTCTGATTTGTTCAGTAATGTGTCAAGTTCGAATCCTCTTGAGAGTGCTTTTGCTTTAAGAAGAGATCCTGCTTGCTTTCCATTCCAAACAAAGAGCATGTATTTGTACTCTCTGTTTTTATAATATTCCTTACCTTCCCTCTTTGAAAGAAGAAAACTATCAAGTGTATGGGTAATTGACCCATCATCATCTGAAGAGAATGAGTTGGAGAGGCCACGAGGGGTTAAATTGTCTGCACTCTGGACTAATCCCCACAAGGAATGGGGGAAGGACACCACATCCATCTTCTCAGAAGTATTTGCCCTGTACACTAGTAGGACAAGGTATGCCTCTTTTGATGAAAATATGAAGCCGTCTTGCTGAAGGTTGGAAAGAGGCACTGCTTCAATGTCAATTCCATTGAATTCATTGGCCTTAAATCTCCATATTTTTAAGTGCTGGGTGATACTTTTCGACACAATTTTATCGAGTTTAACCTTTTTATAGTAATAAGGTGAGATAGCAAGCAGATCAACCAAGTCTGTTGTGTACTTATCAATAGAGAGCCGATGTCCCATTTTTAAATTATATTTGGTATTATTTCAAATAGTTTGCTAATATTCGGGGTTTTGGGGTTTTGGGGTTTTGGGGTTTTGGGGTTTTGGG